TCAACTCATTCTGTACACAACTTGTAGATAGGCCCAGATGGAAATGAAAATGGACTGTATTTGAAAGGTATATATTAGGTCTTGTACAATGGTCCTAAGTTATAACAAAATCATGCGATCGTGGTCACGTTGTTGTAAGGAGTGTTGAGAGCGCGCGGGTCGTCGCTGAGTCGTTGCGTTGCTAAGCCGCCGCTCCCCTGTCTTGATGAAGCATGTGTGCATCGGAGGTGTTAATGTGTGCGTTAACAACTTGGGTAAACGATCATTTTCAATGTTAGTATCTGATTTTTAGTTATTTTTGTCTGTGAACTTAAATAAAAAGTTTTTAGATCTTTCGTTTAAAGATTGATTTGTAAGGCAAAGCATCAATGTTTTTATGTGATACTTATAAGGCGGTACATAACCAGACAGATCACCTGATGGTAAGCAATGAACAGACGAATCACCTCATGGACAACAGAAACACCAAAGGCGTTACAAGTGCGTTGCCGGCCTTTGGGGATTAGGAATTTGAGAATTGTTGGAAATTCCGGGATTGGGCAGATTAGGTAATTAGGCCTTCAGTAACCTAACTCACACGACGAAACACAACACCAACATCGTTTTACGCCGGTTTTCTAAAGGGCCGTGGTACCACTCCGGTTGACCTGGTCTATTTGTGCTGAAGCATGGCTCTCCCATATTTGAATGAAAAGGTTGTAAAAAATATTAAATTGTAACCATTTGAACTGCAACCCTAATCCCGGTTGCCGTGTGTGAAGGTAATGACTAACTCTCTTGGGTAGCGGAGACTCATAGTACACCAGTGGACTGCCATCGACTGTCGATATAATTATTATAACTTTTTCATGTGCAGTTTCTTCGAAGCCTAACATTGATTTATATCCCTCTGCAACTGACGTGGTTAAATTGTTACAATTCAACTGAGGTGTATATTATACCAGACACCATTTCAACAGCAAATATTTTTGTAGAATTAAAGTATAGCGAGCACTATACAGTAAGGTACTCGCAGCAGTGATGCTCGTATTTGAAAAATGACGGTATAACACGTGATTTTGTATTTCGCGGTGTCTGTGGGACTACACGTCAGCTGCAGACGGATATTTATGGCCATATTAATCACTAGGAGTAGGTATGAAGTTTTCATTTTACCGATATTACGAAATAAATTTCCATGGAAGAAAACGATACAACACCTGTTGTTATTCTATGTAAATCTCTGCTTTTCTTTGCCGCTAAAAATCTATTCGTATAATATGTATCTGACTGCCTCGATGGCTGAGTTCGCAAGTGCGACCGGGCAAGGACTCTCGGGTTCCCGGGTCGGGCAAATCATTACTAGGTTTTTATAAAAAATCTTTGTAGTAGCACGGCGTCTGGAATTGTGCCTGGTATATGGCAATAGGCTCACCCCCTATTACATGGGACTCGTAACATAAATAGTGAAAAATAGGTGTTACGTTGTACAGTGGCAAGGTGCCGTAATGTGCCCCGCTTCCTATCTCTTCGGGGATAAAAGGCGTAATGTTTTGTTACTTTGTGTAATATGTATTAATTAAACTTGGTTTGTTGTCTATGTATTTATTTTTCTTATTCAATATTTCTCAGTTCGATATGTTAATGATGTTTTAATTATTGTGCATACCACGGCAGCTGCTGATCATTTTAAACTCTACTTCGATAATAATTTCAATTCTTTTTTAATTTAGTTTCGTTCTATACTACTATAAATTAGAGGAAAGTGACGAAATATGGAATAGTATCCCTAATATGGAATACCGGCTATACTAAGAAACTATAATTCACACACGCAAGAAACACTGTTTGTCTCTTTGTTTCTATCCCCATCTGTGGGTACAGGCTGTGACATATCAGTCGAGTGAGCCCATTCGTCAATATTGCAGTGTTTTGTTTTGCCGCTTCTGCATAACTTTCTAACGTATGTGAAAGATACGCATTTTTCCTTTAAAAAGTGCACATCGTATTGTTTTAATAACTTTTAGAGACAGTTTAGATGTTCTTTTGTCGATTTCGGTGGTGTTTATTTATATTTATTTCTTAAATATAAAAAAAATAATGTCAGTTTAAAGTCGTTGCAAAATCCAATTATGGAATGGTCCATCGTTTTGTTTGATACAGACAGTGAGCTGATGCTTTGATAGAAAATACAACTCCAGACTCTGAAGATTCGGAGTGTATTTTCTGTGGTATTCTGTTTTCAAATGATACTCATAGAGAAACATGGGTCAAGTGCCTCATAATAAGGACTCTGGGACTAGAGATTGATGCCTGAATTTGTGACTTTTGCAAATACGTTGTGTTCTTTTCTATGTTGTACCAACCTTTCTAAAGAGTTTTATTTAAGTTCCGGTTTAGTTTTAATCGTATTAATAGCACTTATTCCATATTTGGGGTACCTATTCCAAATTTAGGTACCATTATTTTGTCGTTTAGTTTTTTTTTAATTTTTAACTCAAAAGAAATAAACGTACCTATGCAATTCTTGTTACAAAATAAAGCGAAAATATATAATTGTTGTAATTACCACAAAAAGTTTTATTATTTGCAACGTTTGCGAAAATTATGCGTAAGAAACAAAATGGTATTCCATATTTGGTCACTTTCCTCTATTATGTATTAGCTTCTGCCCGCGACTTCGTACGCGCAATCCCGTTTTCTCCCGTGCCCGTAGGATTTTCAGGAATTTTTCTGTCTTAACTACCTTCTCCTAATAATGACAAATACAACAAAAAAAGAATTAGTGAAATCGGTCCAGCTATTCGCGCGTGATGCCGTGACCAAGGGAAAAAAATATTCATTTTTAATATATGTAGGTAGATTAGGTCATACGAATAATTAAGAAGAAGAATAGATTCGCAGTATGACATAGACAATTATTACAATGGGGTTTAAAGAAAATGAATAGGTACATTGATTAAAAAAAGTTATTGTGACTCAGTCTCCGATTTTGGTCATCACACAAAACACGGGGCCCAATCTAACAGTCTGAAAAGAGGAACTTTTGAATTGTCCCGAAAATAAAAAAAAAACGGTTATATTTCGAGAACTGAACTCGGAACTGCCGGTGACGGTGAAATGTGAACGTGCAAACTTTCTCGGCGCTTTTATTTTTCACAAAAGTCCAAAGCAAAAAGTACAGGGTGCTGTTTTGTGAACATTTTTTATTTTTCAACGACGGAACATTTGTTCCGTACAATACAATACAAATCTAAGTTGCTGTGTGCTCGTATTGTGGAAATAATGTATTGTACGAATTAATACGTGTTTTGTTTTATACGAAATTGACGCTTTGTAGAGTGTAGATGTAAGGGTATTATGGTTTCTTGAAATATGCTGCTGGATATTTAAGTGTTTGCTAAATAAGGTACCAAAAAGAAGTCATCAATTCTGTACTTGCCAACTAGTCAAATTCAATACTTTTTTCGAACTGTCAAAGACAGTTTCCTATAAAAATTGTGACGTCACGATTTTGAGCGTCCAACAGCACATTTATTTCTTAAAAATTTGCTGGAAATATACTAAAATGATGTTGGTCATGAAATCAACGAATGAAAGTGTGATAATTTTTTACATTTTTTTTGTATTGAACAGTCGAAATAATTTATTTTTGATTAAAGAAAGTACCCAATTGATTGTAGACCTCCTCTATATAAGGGGATTTGCCATAGTCAAGCTTGGCAGACAAGTTTACAAGATTTAGACTTATCATTAAGGTTTACAACAACAATTAAGAAACTACACATTAAATAAATGTGTGGTTCCTTAGTTCTAGAAGTAGAAACTATCGTTATTTTCTTCTCCTCTTATAATATCTTCTGATTCACTTCGTTGCGGGAACCAAGACAGTTATTCATGTCCCTGGGACGCGGACTTCAGTGTTCCGGTGTTTTCATAGTTGTATCTACTTTAGATCCTGGCGTACAGGAATTGCAGCGGTTTTGGGCGGCTGTGACGGTGTCTCATAATAAAAAAATCCTTAGTTCGTACTTACGATACTCGCGGGACGACACGGGTGGTGATTGTAACCTACTATTGTTAAGCGAATAAGTTTTAAAATAATTAAAGGATCATTAATAATAAAGGACTGCCTCGTTGGCAGAGTGGTCGCAAGTGTGACTGCCGCGCAACGGGGTCACGGGTTCGATTCCCGAGTCGAGCAAAGTATTATTGAGCTTTTTTTTTTAATTTTCTCAGTATTAGCACGGAGTCTGGAATTGTGCCAGGTATATCGCATTAACTGCCGTAATGTGCACCTCTGCCTATCCCTTCGGGGTAAAAGGCGTGATGTTATGTTTATGGGATAATCTGCTTTTCTCCTTTAATATTATTATTCACTTCCCACTATTATTCCTTTTACATTTTCAGAGCAAAACAAGCGTAATATTTATGATCTAATTCTCATACAAATTGACAAAGGATTTTATTAAAACAAAAAACATTGAGTTAAAAATATAATTCGATAAAAATTTATTGTTTGCGACAATCAGTTGCATGCCACTGTCCAGAGCGCAGGGATGTATTTGATAGTCAAAAATAAAACTAATTTGTTGGTAATAAATTAGGCAATGTAGGTATTATAATTTACATATTTAAAATGCAGATAAAAGATGATTAATAAAATTAAATAAAATCAGTCTGTAACTACAGTAATGAGAAAATTAGACTTTTTTGGTATACAATGAAATGCGTGAGCCTTCTGGAGATGCCACCTATGTAAAACTATTCATTAGATCGATGGCCCTATAAACTTATATCGCCTTCACCGTTGATTCTTATTTTTGTTATTTTAAAATATAGTAATACTAGCTTTTGCCCGCGACTTCGTTCGCGTGGACTTCAGGTTCGTCCCGTCTAGTCTAGTCTAGTAATAAGTAAGAAATACGGTAACTAAGCACTGCAGAACCCTAATCATAGGTCTATAGGTAGCTACTGCAGTATGCTCCTATAAACTACATTTAACGATCTTTTTCCTTCAGCATAAACATGCAGATTCTTCGCTTTGGAAACACGTGAGCAAGCCACATAGAGCTGACCGTGAGAAAAACATGGCGAGCCCAAATGTAGGCCTGCTACCTTTAAGGTTTGACCCTGCGATTTGTTGATCGTCATTGAAAATGCGACTTTTAATGGGAACTGCAGGCGTTTAAAATTGAATGGCAAGTTGTTGGGTATGATTGGCTCCCTTGGCTTCTCCAGTTAAAATTGTAGCCTTCACTATATGCCTTCCTAATTCGGTAACTCGCAACCAAGTACCGTTGCATAATCTTGGCGCATCCAAGTTACGCATTAACAAAACGGGTACACCTACCTTTAATTCCAACTTGTGTGATGGCACCCCGGACAACTCTAAAGAGTTTAGGAACTCTACGGGATAACTTGTAGTGTCATCGGATGACATAACTGTGTCAATGGAATTATACACTGATGTTTCGCTGTTTATTTCGGCCAACATTTTTTTATTTATTTTCGCAATAGTCTCATTTTTTGCATTCGAAGTTACTAACATGCACTGTGTAAATGCGCCCAAGAGCATCTCCTGCCTTCACACCTGGCCAACCGTCGACAGGTGTACCTTGTAAACGACGTTTCCATTCTTTCGACGACACGTTCCATGTATAGTAGCGGGGTACGTCAACACAAAGTAATGTTTTTGCAAATGCGTCAAAATGACGCATTTGCAAAAACAAACAAACGAAGCAGGAAAAATGCAGTTAGTGTCATCTTAGGTGGTGCGGCCATTCTCTCTCTAAAATTGTTTTCAGTGAAGTAAATCCGCTGACCATTAAGCAGATGAACCGCAAGGTGAGTGACTGTTGGTTTATCACCGAAACGGTATTTATCGCCGAAATTGCTATGACTCTGCATTTTAAATCTGTGATATCTTCGAAAATATTTATTTAATTTACATGCTGTAAAAAGCCATATTGATCTTTATTAAATGCACAATGTATTTAAGATACTTAATTGGATAAGGATTAATACTGTATTGCTTAAAATCGCTTCGTAAATAAGCCATTATTTCTCGTATAAAGTAAAGGATAAAAAATGGTTAATGTGGGTTATTCCTAAGAGATAAACATATACCATCACGGACTTTTTTGTAGACCTTTTTAAGTTGTACAATACTGTAGTACATTGTTTTGATCTATCTTGTAGGATTCAGTCAGCGTTTGCAATGTAAGCGCAAAAAATGTGTTTTTTTACGACCTCACATTAGAAACCTAAAAAATTGTAGCCTATGTGTTATTCTGATGTATAAGCTATAGCCTATATGTTATTCTGATGTATAAGCTATATTGTGGTAAAGTTTCATTCAAATCCATTCAGTAGTTTTTACGTGAAAGAGTAACAAACATCCATACATCCATACATACAAACTTTCGCCTTTATAATAGTAGTAGGATTCGTTCAATGCAGTTTTATTCATTACTCTTCAAATGATTCAAAGAATGCATAGTTGGTGCGGTGGCTCGGCAACCGGCTGCCGTGCAACGTGCCGCGGGTTCCCGCACGGAACAACTCTTTGTGTGATCCACAAATTGTTGTTTCGGGTCTGGGTGTCATGTGTATGTGAACTTATATGTTTGTAAGCGCAGCCACGACACAGGAGAAAATCGTAATGTGGGGCCACCTTTTTTTTTTAAATAAAAAAATAATAATAAATATTTAACTACAAAATTGTCGAAAATGACAATACAAAATTATTATAACAATGCTGTGGTACTATGCTAAGGTAGGGCTAAAGTAATTTAGCAGTACGCCATTACCATATTTTAAAAAGCGCGTTAAGCTGGGTAGAGGTAATTGTCACGCCTTAACCTTCAATTCAAACAACTTAAAATAAAATTAGGAGGATCTCTATTCGACTACTTATATTTTTACTGTTCAAATAATATTCTATCAAAGTCTCTTTCTTCCATTCAAAATCTTTCGATCATATACAGAAACTATGAAATCAGTTTCAAAATTTATCCTACTAAATCGTTACAATAAAGAGTTACACTGAGTTCGTCCCTGTCTCCGTTTTATAGCAGCTCATCGACCGGAGTGAACGCGGTACACAAGACTACGCATCAAGCTAAACATATCCACTATATCGTGATCTAGCTTTGTATGATCTATACACATATTTAAGGATCAGTTTATACTGGTTGTGCATAGCTTGACGTAGCTGTGCGTACATTTGTCACTCGTTTGGAAATTCGCGAACGCATCCACTCGTGGCGGCAGCTGTCAGTCGTCGAGCGCGGCAAAATGGCTGCCAATCAGATAAATTGAAGATGAACATTTTAAAAATACGGTGTATATTTGTGGATTATGTGTTATATACGCGTTTTTTTTATGTATTCAGACAAAAATATTAGTGCTTGTAATATTTAAGCGTCATATATAGGAATTAGGCAACATTTGAAGAACAATATTCTGCACCAAGTGTTGCTAAACGTCTGGATAGGGCGGAGTTTTTTAGCAACTTTGTTTGCCTACACATAATTTCGCTTACAACATTCATAAGCAACGTGTCGTCAAAGAAACTAGTGTTGTGCATGCTTAGTAATATGAGGCTTTATTAACCAATATGGTTTTCCTCAGAACAAGAGCTATTCTAAGTCGGGTTATACAAAAAAGAATAACAGTCATTCTGCCACTTGAGTAATCAACAAATTGACTTTGGGGACATAACAACATGGCCTTTAGCCAAACGCCACTTTAGCGCTTTTTTTTTTCTTCTTTGGCAACCGAGTCTCCAATACGATGTTGTCGACTATACTGCCAGTGTCGAGTCACTTTAGCGCATGTCTACAGAGAGAGTAGAAATCAAAATGTACGGGGATGACACTGACGAGTGTCAAAATTTACGTCAATTCCATATAAATTGGTTATCTATTCTACAATTAGACAAGCGCTAAATGGCCTAAGGCAGATACAGAATTTGACAAGTTGTATCCATGAAGTACGTAGTTGGCAATAATAATATTTATATACCTATTCAGCTACAATTTCAAGAATTTCTAAATTAAAAACTACTACAATTTAATTTACAATCCACGTATACGATATGGTATAGCACTGTTACTCAATATTGTTGTAAATTATAAATAATTATAATTATATAATTAAATAGATCGGACTAACTTACCTGTGACGTCCGATCCTCAATTGTGTAGGTAGCGTCATCCTCGCTAATTATACTAGTAGTAGGCACTAATCTGGGCACGCTGTCACAATATTTAAAGATGAACACATTCATAAAAAATATTTATACTCTATGGTCATCTCACTGGCAACATCATTTACTTCAAAGCACCTGCAACTGCAACACAACTCGACCAGGGGTAAAAATAAACATGTTTATTATCCGGGAAGGGTTGGGACCTAGCGAGGATGACGCTACCTACACAATTGAGGATCGGACGTCACAGGTAAGTTAGTCCGATCTATTTAATTGTATAGGTAGCGTCATCCTCGCTAATTATACTAGTAGACGTTCAAAGAAGGAGTTGTGTTGACAAACAACACTGTTTAATCATTGAACATTGTTGCACTTAAACAAGATATATGACATTGTCAATAACATCAATATCTCACGAGTACTATATAGTACTAGTAAAAACTTAAGCAATAATCAAATTACGTTTATAATTTCCCCAAGATGTAAGCCACTAAACCATTATTAGATATAATAGCTACTTATGGTTATGGTATTGTTTTCAATCATTTTTATCAAATAAAAATACTTATAAAATTAAATACATTTTAAAAATAGTATTAAAAATAAACAGAAGCCCAAAGCACGGGTTATCTTAGTTTGGGTTCCTGACTTTCATCATTGTATTGTCAGGTAAACTGCATTAACCCTATGTAGAACCAAAGTGAAGTGAAGAGAAGAAACAAGCTTATGTCAATATTATAAGATTAATATTAAGATCTACATCATTATGTATTGTGATGGAAAAATAATTAAATGTCCTTATTTATTAATTTAATTATTTAGTAAGCATAGCAACAATATTATTATCTTGAAATTCTGGTGTCCACTACACCAACTATAGGTACACCTACTATGTACGTTTTGAACTATAACGTTGTTCAAATTCAGTCTATTGCGAAAATTTAACGTCTTTCAATAGGTTGTTTTCTTCAAAATTATCAGTTTCTTTTTTTTTTTTTTTTTTTTTTTTGTATATATATTATCTAACTTCTCCATTTTCAGTAGATCTACATTATGATCATGACTCCATACATAGTGATATACAGAGCTAATAAGCTCATGCAATATTAGGATTGTTGGTGGAAAAATGGATTGACTGACCAGGCAGTCGTCTTACTTAAATATATGACTTTGATACTGATTGATACATCTCTGTGAGGCTTTAGAAGAGGTTGAGAGTCCACTGTTATAGTACTAGACATACATTCACTTGAAATTGTAGAATATGATTGATCCCAGAACAATGATTTAAAAATTGTTCTTAAAAATAAAAAATAGTAGGTAGGTAGGTACTATTAAATATGGTTCAGGTTTATTGGCATTATCATTTAGGTACAATCTATAGTGATAGAGATAGTGTGAATTATATGTGCTAATTAATTGATGTTTTAAACTAAAGTTTTAAGCTAAGATTATCATTGGAGTACATACAGGTACATAATAATATTGATTTATTTAGATTGTCATGTACACAATACAATAAAGTTACGGTACATGGTGAACTTGATTCCAAGTGGCATATTCTACCAGTAACCCTCAGGGTTTTAAATAATAATTGTAATAATACACAATTATGTACCTATTTTAGAATAAAACTGGAACCGCACACCACATATTAAAGTTTCTTTTTCTTTTTGGCCTTAATTTGTATACACTTCTAAAAAATCTTGTAGGTAGTTTCTTAATAATTTCACACAAGAGGACCTAGGACTAATGAAGTACCTATCTAATAGTATTCAATAAACTGTATGATAGGTAAATTTAGAAGTAAAAATATAATAATCACAACGGATACATATGCTGAAAAAGTCAAAGCAAAGTCGTATTGCTGTTTTGTTTTACTTTACAATGTGATGCTAGCATTATTCCCATAGAATGCAGTACCTATTCCTT